TTCCATACACTAGGGACTCGTGAACAATCTTTGTTATCTTTTCGGCGCGTTAACATTAAGGAAGTGTCCAACGGCCTGTACATCATTCCCTCCCTTACTATTGTCGTGTATCAAGATGATCTTTAGGACATAAGACGAACTTCTTAGTTAAGAAAAAGTTGAATTTAGAATTGTAATAATTAGAAATAACTTGTACAAGGATTTTGTTTGGATTGAGCAAGCCGAAACAGCAGCGGAGTGGCTGTTAACTCTGTCTTCCTCCGCCTCCAAAAAGAGTTTATGACCAAAGGTTTTGACATGAGGTTATATTTGATTAAGTAAAGCAACATGGGTGAATTGGTGGACTATATGATGGGGAAATAACCGTTGGTTAGACTGTGGTGCCTTCCCTTGGTTTGGTTGCTCAGACCCAGCCTCTTGGCACACGACCCAACCAAGTAATTCCGCCTTGCTTCCCCTCCGATATAATATCATTTATGAAACTAAAGCACTAAACAGTTGTTCTGTATGTGCTGAATATAATATAAAATATAAAGTATGTCACTTAGTGAGAGGTCGTCAGTTTACTCAATGAAAGAGTCCCTTTAGTTCCCTTTAGGAAAAAGTTTGGGAACCACTGGGCTACAGGCAGGTTACAGGTTTATTGTTGACCATGTAATGTAAACTTTTTTCATTAATGTACTCTCTATTTTTCAAACAATCAAATGTAGAGATAAAGCAAAATATAAAAGAACAATAAAAAAAATTAAAGTCGAGATCTAGAGGCTAAGAAGAATAAACAATGCTACCTTTCAGAAATCCATCACAAATGAATGGCAAATGTCGTCATGCAATAACACTAAGAGGGCACTGAAGTCGAATTGAACTATGCCTTTCTTTGCGCAGTTCCACTTTTGCGCATTTGTTGCAAAAATTAATGAGAAACATGAGCTTGTGGAGGATCTTAGTCATTCATTCTGGCTGTCAGGGAAGCAACTACAGTGATTAAACTCTTTCCAGAGGCTTTAGGTGTGCTGACAGTTTACGGCAGTTGATGGCTGCATTGAAAAAATGAATACTGACTATAAATGTGATTTTTTAACATTGACATTTTTCTAATTACTCTATTAATAATGTATGACTGATATTTTTAACATTAACATTTCAAAAATCTCACGTACCCCCTGCAGAACTCCAAAGTTCCCCATAGGAGTACACATACTTGTTTTTCATTTCTGTAGTGCCTGTCAAAACCAGAATTACAAGGTGCTTCACAAAATAAAATGTCAAACAATATTTGCAAAGATGGCTAAAATTAGACAGAAATGTCAACAATCAAATAAAATAATAATATAAAGAACCATTTGAGTCGACATTGTAAAGAATCATAGAAAGTCTGTACAGGTGTTTTTTAATGCTTGACTCAGCCGACCTGATATTGAGGGGGAGTTTGTTCCAAAGCTTTGGAGCTAAAGCAGAAAAAGCATCAACCCCTTATTTTTAAGTTTGGACCGTGGAGCTTTGAACAGTGTTTGATTTTCCAATCTGAGGGGTCTTGGAGCAGACTAAAAGGTTAAAGGTACTAAGATATGAAGTGGAGCCAGGCTGTGTAGGGATTTAAAAGTAATCAGTAGAATCTTAAATTGAATTCTGTAATGGATGGGGAGCCAGTGTAACTCGGCCAGGACTAGAGTGGTGTGTTCCTTACGTTGAGTGCGTGTGAGGAGTCTTGCTCTGCATTCTGAACTGACTGTAGTCAAACTGCCGTGTCCTTTAGGCAAGTAAATAGTGAATTGCACTAGTCTAGACAGGTGGAAATGAGGGTGTGGAAAAGTTGTTCAACTGTGTTTTGGGGAGCATCGGTTTGATTTTGGCAGTATTTCTAATTTGTAAATAGAAGCCAGCACAACCAGCATTTCTTAATGTGCTGGTTGAAGTGAAGGTACTAGGAGAAATACAGTTATTAACTTTAAAGGAAAGATTTCATTGTGCATGTTTTTCATATTGCATGCAGCCGGTTTAAAGTGATCATATACCCAACAACTAATCTAGATAAGGGCCTGTGCGATGTGCCACAACACTGCTAGATGAAAATAAATAAATTCTAAACCCTGGACCTTTTTAATAGAAAAAGGAATCATGATAAGCTTTTTTACCCCCCCCCCCAAAATGACTTGATTTCACATGTGAGTTCTATTTCATTAGAACCATAAGAGACTTGAAGTGACTTGGAGTTGAAAAAAATGAGCTATGAGCATCTCTGTCTGGCACATTAAACCAGAACTTCATTTTAGTTACCTTCTTTTATTTTGAAAGTTTCCACTGGAAGACTTGTGCTGCTGTGCTGTTGTCTGACCTGACATGAGTGGGGATAACAGTTGCACATCAGCTAATACAGCTAATTAATATTCAATATCTATTAATCAGTATCAATATCTTCATCAGAAATGACACCAATAAGTTCATTCTTGGTAACTGCTGTATGAATATGTAGTTCAGTCAGTCATTGGATGAGCATTTTGTGTTTTTCTCTTTTTCCTTTACTGTGAAGGAAACATGCTTATAATCTTAACATCCACTTTAAAGTATACAATTAGATACATAGGCTATATATTACACAGACTAAATGTAACTGTTAAAATCAAAATTAAAAAATTAAAAATAAAGGAATTTCCCACCAGAATTTTTATATGTGACACCAGTGCAATTACCACAAATGTAATTAAATATATATAAAGGTTTTATTTTTTATATTAATCAGAAATCTAAGTTCAGGCTTCATTTCCTTCTTATTATTCAGATTATTCAGATTATTATTATTATTATTATTATTATTATTATTATGATTATTCTTATTTGCAGTATCTGTGTTATCATTAGGCTGTCTTTAGCACGTCATTCATGACACAGGAAGTGCCCCATTCTTCCTCTGATATGATTGGTTGCAGTGCGCGTCTTTCAATTCTTTTCCCAGCCAATCATTGACGACCACCCGCAGCAGCGTACCGCCTCCTGTAGGCGCAATTTGCCCAGAAAAGGGAGGATATTTTAGACCCTGCGCCGGTTCTCTGCGTTACCGTCCGTCTAGATTTCGGTGCTACTTGTGTGAGTTCGTGCTGAAGTCCCGTCAACATGCTCTCGGTGCGGGTCTGAAGCGGTTCTGAAGCGGCCTTGTGTACATTTCGTTGCGGACAAAGTGAGATGCTTCCCCGGAGCGCTGAACCTGTTCCATCCCGCACACAAAGCCTGTGAAGCAGGCCGTGTTTTTCCTCTGAGACACCGCGCCGACGATGCTCAAACATGTCGGGGAATCATTACAAAGGCCACGAAGTCAGCTGCTGCATCAAATACTTCATTTTTGGATTCAACATCCTGTTCTGGGTAAGAAGATTTAATATTTGTATGCTGCAGTGTCTGCGCCTCTCTCAAGTGCAGTTCGGTTATTCTAATGTCCACCGGCCAATAGGGAGGAAGGCCGCACTGCATTATCACGGTACCGTTATCTTATCGCTGCCAGATCCATGCATCGGCCCTTTATAGTGCTGCACTCGTCCGGTCGGGTCCGGATAGAAGCAGCTGCCGCTCAGTTGACAACAAGGAGCTAATCGGCTTTATAGTGAACTAATGAGAGCTGACTGCAGCTTATCATCCAACTGTCACATTCATATCTCTCTCACACACTGACACCATCCCAATCGCTTCCGTTACAGTGTCAACAACACACTGACACATAACGTAATGTGTTTTAAAAAGTGATGTCATCCATATCGTACAGTGGACAGACATGTTGGTGGACTGCATACATAATCTGTGAGTACAGGAGCAGATTGAAGGCAAGGGCTGCAACTGCCAGTTATTTTCATTATCGATTCATCTGAACCATACTGGATATCAAATATCAGAAAACAATGAGAAGTACCTGTCACAAGTCCATGCAGAACTCCAGCTCTAAACTCAGAGACAGTAAATCTACTATAATAAAGAAAAGTAGTAAATATTCACAGTTGAGAAGCTGGAACCAGCAAGTTTTGTTTTGCCTTTTACTTAAATGACTTCAGTTGATAATCAGAAGTGTGCTTAATTAATCATCTTTGTTATACCCATTTGTATACATATTTTGAATAAGTGGTGGGGGAGAATGGGGTCAGTTGTAACATTTTCCAAATCTTTGGGGTCCAGTGTGTAACATTAGGAGGATGCTATTGTCAGAAATGGATATAGAGTATTCATAGGTATGTTTTCAGTTTAGTGTTATAAATCACCTGACAATGAGAATTTGTTGTTTTGGTTACTTGGGAGTGACTGTTTTGATCTACAGAAAGATTGGTCCTCTGTATATCAGAGTCGGCCTGTTGAACCGCAATGGTTTCTAACAGTAGGCCCAGAACGTAAAAACCAAACACTGTCTGTAGGAGGCCTCTTCATCCCTTGTCTTGCAAGTTTGTTGGCACTCTAGTTTCTCCTAATCTTCACACAGCAGCAGGTGGTATATACATTTTGGTTGCAAATTCTGCAGCTTCACCACTAGATGCCACTAAATCACTACACAACTGATGCTTTAAGTCATGGCTTTTTAAGTTAAATAGTTTTATTTTAAGTATCATTTTTCCAAATACTTGAAATACTGCACTAATTACGGGTTTCCAGTATTGATGTGACTCTGCCGATATTCTTCCTTGTGAATACTGATTAATTGTATGGTTTATAAAACGAAGCAGTTTACTTTTGAAAGCGCTGAAAACAAGTTTTTGCATTCTGGCACTGTTTTAAATGTGTTGAGCAGAAACAAAAGCACAAAGGCGGTAGGCCAGGTCCTTGGTGTGTGCCAGACTTATGTGGGCGTGTCCAAGCGGCACCTGCATCTTGGTCAACATGTATGCGAACCAAAATAGTATTGTCACAAACACAAGTGCAAAAAGGGCTAGGTGGAGGTGCACTAGATCAACATATTTATCCTGCTGTCTTCAGACGCTGCAGGGATTATGACACTGGAAGAAGATGCTTTCATAGTAAAAGCAGCCTGTACAACAATGGATACTGGGAAGAATCGATCATATTCATTTACAGATAAATGCAGACTAAATACTTCTTGCTTTAACCCATTAAAAGCTCTTTTTTGTGCAGATTTAAAACAGATCTACTAGGTCGGAGAGTGTTAAATAAATTAGTTTTACTTTTTAAGCATTATCTTGCTTATCTGCGTGCGCATTTCATCCAAGTATTTAAGTTTGGTCTTGTTGATAAAATGACCAAAAGTGCAAGCTGAGTAATGTAAAACAGGACATGATGATAAGATGGTCTTTTTCTTTTTCTCAATGGAAGGTGTTACATGCATATTTCCACAATAATACCAACCGATCCACTTTGTGCTGCCTCATTTGAATAAACCCCCCAGCTGTTTGTTCCTCTCACAGGCAGAGAGAATTTTGAGATCCGATCATTAAACTGTCAGAGTGCCGCCACTGTTGTTGCGCCTCCAAAAAAATAGGGCCCTTTGCTTAAAAAATGTCTTAAATCGATTATCAAAGAGTTTTCTGTTAATTGTTGCAACTGTACAGTCGATCATAAATTAGTGGTACACGTGAAATCATTTTGCAAGGTTGCACATGTTGCACATTAAGAAACGTGTAGGAAATTTTCATACATGTAATAAAATGTTAAGAAAGTGCACAAAAAAAATGTTCGACCTGTAAACTGTAAGACTCAGGTGTGATGTAATGTTTAAAAGAAAAAATCCCCCCAAAGTACCCTTTGTTCTTAATTTTTTGTCAGTCACTTTATTGTAAGGATAAACACATATACAATATAGCTATTGTATCTTACTAAGATAGAAATAAAGGTCAGTACAGAACCAGGGTCACAACCCAGGGTCACAGGGTCCTCAGAGGGAATGTATTTGTACTTTCATGTCATAACAATGTGACAGACTGGCACCATGTCATTTTGCATTAATACATTTTGGCAGTAATTTAACATGACTGTGGTGTTTTGCAGCTGCTGGGCATGGCCTTAGTTGGAATTGGACTGTGGGCATGGAGTGAGAAGGTAAGTAGTGACACTGAGTTATTATTAGAGACATCAGAAAATAGAATACAGTGTTCGTATTAAAAACTGACTTTCTGTTTAAATGACATTAAAACCAGTATGGATTTTTCGTCAAAGGCCAATGTGATAATATTTTTCTTGTTTTCATGCCACTGCATATTCCAAATTCAATCTGCAAAAATCAAAATGTTTATATCAACAATGGGTCAAATGACTGTGTAAAGTTAAAGGTGTCACTTGAAGCAACAACCCCACAGAGAATAATCACTTACTCTGCAGTTCCCCTT